CCCAGCCCCTGCTGCTGCGGAAGGTGCAGATGGTGAAGGACGCGCACGAGGGCCGCCTCACCGTGCTGCGCAAGAAGAAGAAGGAGAAGGGGAAGGAGGCAGCCGGGCCCCAGGCGGCCAGCAAGGGCACCGGCGACGCCAAGGCCGAGGGGGAGGAGGAGGACGAGCGCGTCCTCCCTGGCATCCTCAACGACACTCTGCGCTTCGGCATGTTCCTGCAGGACCTCATCTTTATGATCAGCGAGGAGGGCGCCGTGGCCTACGATCCGGCGGCCAATGAGTGTTACTGTGCCTCCCTCTCCACTCAGATCCCCAAGAACCACGCCAGCCTGGTGACGAAGGAGAACCAGGTCTTCGTGGCCGGGGGCCTCTTCTTCAACGAGGACAACAAAGAAGACCCCATGAGCTCTTACTTTTTGCAGGTGCCTTGCCAGCGCTGGGAGGGGGTGGCCAGTGCTGGGGCCGGGGGTCGGCCTTGGGGCCCAGGAGAGACCTGTGTCTACGTGTTGGCAAATGTCCTTGGTCTACGGGGAGGTGTAGACCAGGGCGGTTCACCGACAGCCACTTGCCTGAAAGCTGAAGACAGTGATAGACAGTGGACTGATAGGTTGGAGGCCCGGGCCCTGCACAAGGGTTGGGGTCAGGCACAGTGAGAAGGAGGAGCAAGGTCAGTGTAGGGGTTCTGGGCAGGGCCTTTGCATGAGTCGGGGACTGGAGTGTGTCCCAGACAAAGGGATCATCCTACCTAGTCTTCCCATTATACAGATGAGGAAACTGAGGCACAGGAAGGACCCGTAGAGTGGGGTGCCCAGTCCAAGTTGTAGTGGGACTGTGGGATCTCAGAGGGCAGAAACAGCTTCCTGGTGGCAGGCCATGTAGGTGTGGGCCTTGCCACTCGGGTGGAATTTGGAGGCCCGAAGGGGAGGGTGGTGGAGAATGAGCTGAGTGAGTGGTGGGCACAGGTGGGCACATGTTCACTCCCTCTGGGCTTCCATTCATAAGTGAGGGTATTATTCCTCCTGCTTGATAAGGTCATTTGAAGGTTAGATGGCAGGTATAAAGTGTTCATCAGTGCAGGGCGCAGTCTTCAGAAAACTTTTCAAAAAGGTGAGCCACTGGTACTGTTATTATAAGACTGTCCAGGTGGACAGGGTGACAGGCTTACAGTGTAGGCTTTAAGGGTGAGTGGCAGAGCTGGCTGTAGGTGGGGTTCCTGTGCCAGGGGATGAGGTGGAGAACAGGGGGCGAGGAGGTGTACAGGGGAAGGGCCAGGGCCCGGGGAAAGCTGCCCCATCCTGGGGCTATCATGGCGATCTTCCGGCATCTGCCAGTTCAGGAATGGGGTGGAGGTGGGGTCGGCTTTCTCAACCAGAAAGGAGATGGGCACTGCCTCCAGAAACCACCTCCACCTGCGCTGGCCCGACCTGGAGTCTTGAACTCCTGGTGACCCGGGTGGCCTGATGGGGCTGAGCTGGGCTGGGGCTGGGACTGGGGGTGTGGGGGCGCCAGCTGACTGGGCCCCCGGTCCGCAGTTTGACCACCTGGACTCAGAGTGGCTGGGGATGCCGCCGCTGCCCTCGCCGCGCTGCCTCTTCAGCCTGGGAGAGGCTCTCAACGCCATCTACGTGGTCGGCGGCCGGGAGCTCAAGGAGCGGGAGAGCAGCCTGGACTCGGTGCTGTGCTACGACCGCCTGTGAGCAGGGCAGGGGCGGGGCCGCCGGGGGGCTGGGGTTGAGGATG